TGAACTTGGGAAGGCTTTCCACTAGATGTTTCCACATGGCTAATGGGGACATGCTCTTATTTGAATTTGAGCAAAACTTAAGTCAAGCATTGATGTTGGAAACTGGGGTCTGACTGACTGTTGGACATCTAATCTATCTCAAAATGTGCAAACTCTGTAAAAAAAATCTTTCATGGACCTTGATTTGTGCATGGGCAATTTCATGTTTTTAATGAAACATAATTTCACATAATTATCTATGCCATTGAATGACATAGTTCAGTCAGGGCCACTTTCGTCAAATTTATCATGATAATGAAAACAGTTAGTGTTGGTGGTGTGGTTCTGTTATGGGCAATATCCACGCACCCGTCCATGCAGCCATGCCTGGACAGAGTGGGGAGAGCAGCAAGTAACCCAGCAAACACAAAAAACGTTTCAAAAACGTTTTTTTCACGTCATGAAAAGGTTGTGATAACGTTTTTATCCGACGTATTTAATACGACAGATGTCGTTTTTTTTCACATTATAAATACGTTTTTTTACAAAGTTGCATAAAGTCGTCAAAAAGTTGTTTTTTAACGTTGTTAATGCAACGTTCTTAAAACGTAAATATCACATCTTACTTTCTGGACATCGTCAGTTGGTTAGAACACATTTACCCGAAATCACCAACACGAAGTTCCAGGTTTTGCTTTGAATGTAAATTACCTTGAAGTGTTCCTCACACACTGCATGTTCCACATCGGCCTTTTGTGATTCCATTGTGAAGCATAGTCGACCCGTTAAAAACAGTAAAACGTCACTGGAAATAAATAGCCTACAGACAGTTAATTCTTAGGGACTGATTTAACTTATTACATTAAAAGTTATGGATTGATTTATTAATCCATTAATTCATGTAGCCTAACTACCCAACTTTTCCTTCAAGCAAAAGGTGTCCAAAAAACAAAAGGTTTCCTCAAAAAAGAAAAGAGCTCGCATCTCAATAAATAAATGTATTAATACAAAATTTTAATTAAAAAAATATAAACGAACAATATAACAATATAAAATATATGTTATAACCATTTTACCAAAATCAATGTAATCAATAAAGAAAATACACAACATTTGCAGCCTATTACAAAAATAATGTTGACAAAACCAACTATACAAAGAACATACAGATACACACAACTGTAATAATGCTAAAATATTGATATATGAACAACAACAAAAAATAGACAATGTTGATTAATAGGGCTGTAATGATACACTTAATAATATTGACCAATTACCTTGTTTTAATAAATAAAAGGTAACGTTAAATGTGGTGAGCAGGACGGCGAGCAGGACCTGTGAAGCACACCGGTCTCGCATCTCTCATGGAGAAGCGGAAGCTCGATCATGCAATGATTGTTGAGCCACCAGCCACGACAGAAGTTTCCACTTTAAATCCTTTAGACTGGTTGTTTTTTCTCTAGCATCTAAAGTGAGAAAGAAAATAACCAAAATGTAAATGTAAAAAAAACAACGGTTGTCCAAAATGTGAAGTATACTCTGGAGTTTATCCCTCTACACGTACAAGATTTCAGTCAGGTAAATTGTGGCTAAACGTTTGCTTGATTGAGTGACGTCACATAAAAACATTAATTAAACTGTTAACTTAGACCCCGTTTACACCTGGTATTAAAATGCGATCTGTATCCAGATAAGTTATCCGGATAATAAAAAACGCATGTTAATGCAAGGTGTAAACGCGTTGTGATCGGATCGCGATCGGATCTGCCTGACCACATCTGGAGGTAGTCTGGCTCGCATTGTGTCCGGATCTTTACTAGGTGTAAACGCAATCTGGTTGTTGAAACCACATATGTATATTTTACTCCTCCCAAAAATGCTAAAAAATAAACAAGTGAGAGCGTGTTATATAGGCTATATGTCATGTTATAGCCTCAGATGCGACACGCATCACCGCAGATGAGCAGCTGAGCGTCTATTCAACGTGCAAACATCGCAAATAAAAGTGAAAGTAAGTCACAGACGCAGTTAACACATCTTCAACTAAAGAAACGAAATTATCTTACCAGGCCTGTTGCCACTCTCTCTTATTGATGTCTCTGATTTGGAAATTAGCTGATGATCAATAAAATGCCGCTCAGATCTGTTGCTTTTGGTGGCGTGCAATCCAATAAATCTGCATATAACGCAGGAGGTGAAGATCGGATTTATATCCGTTTTGCAAAAACACATTTATGTGGCCAGGTGTAAATGGAATCAGTACTTATTATCCGGATAACTTATCTGGATACAGATCGCATTTTAATACCAGGTGTAAACGGGGTCTTACAGACAGTGCATACTTTTAGGTTAAATAAATGAGCTTACTATTCACATCCATATACCATTTGCCAGTAAAACATTTAACATTACAAAACTATCAAAATCTCTCATCTAACGTTACACATAAAATGCAATTAAACGCCCAAACAAACTTGCCTCCTCCAACAGTTAACGTTAGCCTAACGTTAGCATGATGGTTAAGATGCTAACAGACTATTTCGAATACACTAAACCAATTCTATACAGTAAATATTCAACGGAAGTCTGTCATTTACATGAAAGAAAGTGTCAGAAACATTTGTATACTAGTTGTGTAATTTTAGGGACTACACTTACCTGAAAGTAGTTAAAACAACAGTGAGAGACGGAGTTTAGCAGCTTCCCAGACAGCAAACTGACATTGAATCAACGTGGAAACGACGTCTCTCATGACATCGAAACAACGTTGATTTTGCTCATCGAATTAACGTTGAACCAACGTCAGACGCGGCATTCTTCAAAGCTAAATGAAAATTGAAAATTGGTTTGCTTTCATAACGTTGAAACAATGTTGATTTCAAGTTGATTTTCCGCTAGTTTTGAAAGAATGTTGGCTCACTTGACTAACGTTGGTTCAACGTTAATTCGATGAGCAAATCAATGTCAGATCAACGTTGTTTCGATGTCATGTTTCCACGTTGAATGTCAAGTGTCAGTTTGCTATCTGGGTTGTCAGTTGAGCTGTCGGCCCGTTTCCATGGTAACGCCCTCCGCTCAAGTTCAGATGCGGCTCGAATTTCAGCGCGCGCGCCCATTAAAACATGTAGAAGTCACGCAGCATTTACATACATTTAGTCTAGAATTGATAGAATTGTTTATTGGGTTGTATGGTGTTTATACTATGCATTATAGGCATATTTAAATGTAGTGATTGTTAACGAAATAGGTGTAGCCTATACAGCACAATAGTTTTCAACGAGATATGAACCACCGGGGAGCGCTTTTTGCTGGATTTCTGCCATGCCAAATCTTGTAGGTGGTTTGCGAACGTATATGTGCTTATAGCTTTTTAATTTATTGACGAGCCAACTTGATTTAGGGAAAAAAGAAAAAAAATGAAAAAACAACGTCCAAATGACGTCTGGTGCTGCCTCGGTTAGTTCGGTCTTGTAATAGTCTTTTTTTTTTACTAAAGAAAATGTACCAGTTTGGTATTTTAACAACGTTTTTGAAACGTCTTATTCCAACGTACCCAGATAGCAAACTGACATTGAATCAACGTGGAAACATGACATCGAAACAACGTTGATCTGACATTGTTTTGCTCATCGAATTAACGTTGAACCAACATCAGACGCGGTATTCTTTCAAAACTAACGGAAAATAAACTTGAAATCAACGTTGTTTCAACGTTATGAAAGCAAACCAATTTTCGATTTTCATTTAGCTTTGAAGAATTTTTGCTCATCGTCTGACGTTTTGATGAGCAAAACAATGCCAGATCAACGTTGTTTCGATGTCATGAGAGACGTCGTTTCCACGTTGATTCAATGTCATTTTGCTGTCTGGGTAGAGATTACGTTAATTTAACACCTGAATAAAATGTCTTCCAAAAGTTGTAGTTTGGTCTAGTTTCCTTTTAGTAGTAAACAAACGTGATATGTACGTTTTTTGACTACTTAAAAAAAAAACATACCAGTTTGGTATTTTCACAATGTTTTTAAAACATTTTATTTTGGTTACATTATTTATCCATTTATAAAAAAACGTTTTAAAAATGTTTTTAAAACGTTGTACTAAAATATTACCTAATTACAACCAAAATACAACGTTGTGAAAAGTTGTAAAAACGTTTTGTGTTTGCTGGGAAAAACACTTGGGGTAACAAAACATACCCAGTAATCCTGCATACATAATTTCAATCAAATTTTTTACATGAGTGTTGTAAACAAGCCAAAATACATGAAAGATGCATGAATCCTTTTTTTATTGCCTGTGTGTGAAGGGTAATCACAAATTACAAAGATCCACTTGTCGGGTTTTGCTATTATCTCTGAAGGCCAGTATTCTTATTTCTATGTGAAGTCTCTGGATGTCATGAAAGAGCATGTACACAGCTTTATTTAAACCTTTCACACGTACGTTCTGAATATTCAGACTGGCAGCCTGGCGTGAGTTTTTTTGTGCGACCGTTATTATGCAATGACTTGCGTTCTAATTTCCATGGCGACCATCAACCTTGTCACGTGACACTTTGCACAGTCACAATGGCGCGCATGATGGAAAACCACCTACAGGTGAGTGGTTTGAATGTTTCATTTTATTTTTTATTCAAATCATCTAAAATATAAGTTTTAGCATGCACTGCATGCTAAAAAAATATATTTGAGATGATTTGAATAAAAAATAAAATGCCCCAGCAATCAAGCTTCTTTGGGGCCCGAATGGGGCCCTTACGGGCAGCCCACTGTGGGCCCAGATACCGGTGTGAAATGCGGGGCACGTGTGGGCCCCACACTTCGGGACCCAGGTGGGGCCCCCATTGGGGCCAGTTGTGGGTCCACTGTGGGGTCAGTTGCAAAGTTTGAGCTCACAGATCAGGTACAATTGCACTTGTTAGCAGCAATAAATCAAGGGCCATGTTTTCCCCCCCAAATAATTTATTTATATTTAATAATAATTGTAATTAATAATTAAACAGTTTACACAGAACAGTTAAACAGTTACACAGAACACTTAAAACACATCAATGTAAATTATTAAAAATCAATCCTCAAAGGCACCAGTAGGTATTGCAGTTCTGGCCCTTCCTTGCCTTCCCCCATCTCTGTCCCTGGCATTACGGAGCCATGTTTTTATAGAGGCTTCCACCTCACATGCAGTAGCTTGGCTACTTTTTGTCACAGCATCTAAGCGAGAAAGGATCAATTCAAATACAAATATTAAAAACAAATGAATTGTACTGTTAAGCCATTTCAACCTAAGAACCTGGAAACATCTTCTGATTGTTCCAGGTGCTATATAAATGCTCAACTATAGAGAATGACTGAATAGGTCAATGAGAGAGCTGCTGTTTATAATAACGTTCAGTTGTAAGTCATTTATAAGTGGTTAATGATGAACTAAGCGTTTACAAACATTTTATGTATGTTTTGTAAATTCTGTTACAAGTCATTTACAAGTGATTAGTAAATTATTAACTAATTTTTTTATGAAACATTATTATGCGTTTCATGAATGTTTAATAAGTGATATGTTAATTATTGCATGTATGTTTTGTAGATTCAGTTATAAGTCATTTACAATTGCTTAGTTATTGATTAACTAATAATTTACAAAACATGAACATGCATTTCAGAAATGTTTAATAAAGGTTTTATTTTTTGTGTGTACGTAGCAATTAGAGGGTACAGAATGTGTTGTAAATGCCTTGTATACATACAGATCATTTGTAACTGGTAAGTAACAGTGTTCAACACCATGATGACTAAACGCTTGAATAAATCATTTACGACACTTTCTGCTTGTAAATGATTTATTCATGCATTTACGCATGATCTATAACAGGTGTTGTTGAATAGTGTAAGTGCTGACTGGTGAGGGTATAGACAGCTGTCTTGGAGTCACATGGAGTTTTGAACCATTGTGCACCTGATGTGAGCAAAACACCAAAAAATGCAACATAATAAACATTTATTAAACGCAGTCATGTTTTTGTAAATTATTAGTTAATCATTTACTAATCACTTGTCAATGACTTGTTACAAAATTTACAAAACATACACAGAATGTCAGTATCACTTGCTAATCATTTATGAATGTTTTTTAAATTATTAGTTCATCATTAACTAACCACTTATAAATGACTCACAACTGAAAGATATTATAAAGTGTTAACATTTATTGGTATAGAAAATTAGACTAATGGATCAGAATTGAGATTACACAGTGAAAGAGTAAATTAATTTGTTATTATTTTAATATTTATGTTTAAACAACATACAGTACATTTTGTAACAAAGGCCCTGAAACTGAAACAATCTCCATGTTTATGCTAAATGTGCATTGGACATTTGTTGACAAACAAACGAGGATTACTGGGTACAGGAATTGAGATAGATCAAACATTGTTCATTTACTGTACATTTACACCTGACTACTGTTTTTTACTCCACATTTAAAAAAAAGAGTATTCCTGTTATAAGGGCATATCATATACTGCACCTATAACTGCTTTGCAGACCAACATCTGTCCAAAGGCCATCTTCTGGCCAGAGCCCTTCCAGCACAGTTGCTGGGCAAGTGGAATGGTCAGCATGCAGACCAGAACACGTCTGGTGTTGGAGGTTACGCTTGTACCCCCAACTGTTGCCAGATACTTTGCCTAAATTAAAGCAGTAACACATAAGTGTATATATAATGAAACTGTAGTGAAAAAGTACAAAACAAAAAAGCAACTTCTATAGAACCAAATATTTAAGAAAACCAAGTGTACAATTGCACTGTAGCATGCCTCATCCTTCAGCTGGAGTTCTAGCTTTTGAAGGTCTATAAGACTTTTCAAAGGCAAATTGACACCCTCTGGCAGGTCTGCATTCACAGAGCTCTGTTTTGTCATTTTTAAAAGCAATTGCTTAATAATTCAGGTGTTCTAGTTGACTAATAATTTGGCATTCTGCTGCTGGAGAGATAGATACAGAGAAAATATAAAATCTTCAAAAAAAAGTAACAAAAACTCATTGTAAGCATTAATGTACTGTTAATTTACGATTGTTCTTCAACTAATACAACAATATCCTCTTTTCATGAGACATAAAAACCTGAAATCAGTGCTTACGTGTAATAGTCTGCCTTCTTGAGAGAACTGGTGCTGGTGGGCCAGGTGGTGCAGGGGGAATAGGCGGGGCTGGTGAAATTTGTGTCGACAGCGGAGATGGTGGGGATGGAGGTGATGGCGGGGATGGTGGAACTGGTACAGAGCCCTTTCTTCTTTTACTCACTTCTTCAGATGAAGTGTGGCCCTGATCAGGGTGCCGTGAGTTTGGTCTGGTGTAAATAAAAGTCACATCGTGAACCCTTAATCCTAGATTTTTGTAATCTGAAATTACACACTCTACATTCCCACTTCTTTCTCCTGTTTAAGTTTTATAATCAATGCGAAAACCAAGAAACTTACTTCCTTTTGCGATTACATTTCCCCAGCATGGTGTCATTTTCTGAACTGAGACAGGAGGATGTCTCAGCCTTTTTGGCCTTCTGTCTGGCTTTCTCATAATCTGCTACAGAACAATAAACCAATACTCTGTCATTTGTCATCACATTTCTGCAAATTAAAAATTCTTAAGGCACAAGATTAAACTAAATATTAAAAGATTTAAACTAAGTTTTTTTTAGACTTTCAGCATATAGTCACAATGTTCACACAACAAATCTACTATGATTAATTAACAGCTGTCTGTGGATTCCTTGACTTTTAAAGATACACAAATGCTTTATATAAAGAACCGAATTAAATCTAGAATATTGTTTGCCAAATGTAGCTTTTATTGACATAAACACTTATAAGTAACTTCCCCTTGATATCAATTACGTCAAAAGACTTGATCAAGATTCTGCATTTTAAGGTCCGTTTTGGAAGTCATTGTCTTCCAGTGGTAATTACGTTTAAAGAGAAAGTTACTATTATTGTTAAACCCACACTGAAATGGTTTATGTATATGAAGGTATGTTAGAAATTCAGTTTACATCAAATCAATGTCATAGTTTAGAAGTCAAATTTAAATAATTTGGACACCACTGTAGCAAATGCAACATTTAATAACATACATAAAATGTATTTAAGGGGGCCGAAGGCCAATTTAGCCCAAAGGGAATGATTCATTGATTTACACTGAATCTTAACCGAGCAAACAACTCGTTTAGAGTTCATTTGAACGGGACGTAATTATAACCTTTGCAAGGATATAAATACCCAATCTATAGTGAAACACTATGTCTTAGCAAGGTAACTTTAGATCAAACAGTACAAGACATTAAATGTGCAAACAAGACACAAGAAAATGTATCTTTTCAAATATTTGGAAGACTTTATTAGCTATTCTAAACACAAAACTAAGGTCTAAACATAGTCACGCAAACACACACATTCATACAGTCGCGACAGGGAAAGAGTGAGTTGGAAAGAGTAAGAGAGAAAGTTTCAACTTTCTATATGCACGTAAGACATGACCTGAAAGGACCACCAATCATTAATTTGAACCTTCGTTTCTTAGAGAGGTTATTCAATTTACATTAAAGCACCAGTTCAGCTAAGAGTCTGGAGTACTTGCTTGTGTCCGTGTGGTTTAGGGGATTCCTTTGTTGTGTTGCATCGAAGGGCGGTTTCCCGGCCGGGTCCGTTGCGTGGTTGGTTGTCTTTGAAGTGCAGGGATGGAAGTTTCGCCGCTGGTCACGTGTGATTAGCAAACGAATGAGAGTCTTTTCCAATTCAAAGCGCGTTGCAAACTTAACTTTGAAACGAGACTTTTACGAAAAAGGAAATAAAGGAAAGAAACGAAAGTAAGGCGAGTCGGATGGCTTGAATGAGCTGAATTGTAACCCTGATCTTGATGGGTTATTCTTCTGCTGGTCGAATTTGGTCTAGTCGATGTAGAAGCATGCGAACACGCTCTTTGTTTCAGAGAGAAGCACGAACAGAACACTCTCTTGCTGTTTTAGAGAGAGGCACGAACTTAACAGTTACAAACTGGAAACACGAACAGAACGAAAAACTTTGTTACATTCTGGACTGAACTGAACACGAACAAAAATCTGAACAGCAAAAACAAACAACAAACACAAAACTGAACATGAGGTCTTGTTCCTTTGTTTGGATCTTTAACTTAAACTCTAGTCCAACCTCCCAGAAACTTCTGGCCAATGAGATAATGGCATGATTTTAGGAGTTAAACTCTAGTCCAACCTCCCAGAAACTTCTGGCCAATGAGATAATGGCATGATTTTAGGAGGTGGATCTACTTCTTGCTTATCATCATTTATGCATGGTCTGTGAGCTGGTCTCCAGCACTTAGCAGAGAGACAAAATACCATAGTTTAAACCTTATTATTGGTTATTGTCCCCCAAAGCAGACCTTTTGGAGCCATCCAGTCAATGGAATGTGAGCTCCAAAACCTTTGGAGTGTTGAATCCATGAGAATTAATCCCATGAGAGATTAATTTGATTAAGTTGTGTTTGATTTGCCTCAATTCTCTACACCACATTGACATCAATGGTTTGTGTTATTGCATATGAATTCTAACTTTTTCTTAACCAAGGCCCAAAACTATTTCTCCTTTTGAACTGTGCCCAAATGTAAAAATTATGTGGGTTGACTTTAACTGAATACATTTCTTTCAAATTGTGACCAAAATTCACATACCCATGCTGATATGGAAGCAGTGGAGTATTTATTTATTTATTTATTTATTTATTCATTCATTCATTCATCAAAAATGATACTGATTTGTTGATTCACTTGAACTGTAATTTATTACAATTCCATAAATGACGAACAGCATTTTTACTGTAATCCCACATAATGTATTGTTTATATTATCCATATGTTTATTTATAGTGATACAATTAATTATTATATATATTGGATGAAATTAAATAATTGTAACACGTTTACAGTGTTACCAGTCAATTGTTAAAATATTTAGAGGTTTGATGCCAATTTGTCTTTTTAACATCCACATTAGAGTTTCAATTCAACATATTTGTGTGCATTGCAGTATAGGCTATGCATGCTGATCAATGTTTATGTTGACAAATGTGAATCGTAAACCTCAAAAGTGGCTCCACTGAATCATTCAAATTCAAACGAGTCACATATCACGCTAACGTCTGGAGACCGCAGGCGCGCAACCATTCTGCTGTGGCGTTATTTTGGAACTTTTCGCGGGACAATGACTGTGTCTGAAATGTAAGTCACTCACTTATTATAAACTAATTGTGTAGCCTATTTAATTGTATTTATTGAACATTTGTGAACAACCGTGCAGCTGAAGTGATTTCGGTGCGTATCTTTATAGCGACGCAATGGAAATTTACCAATGTGTTTTTCTTCAAAGGGATACAACAAGTGAACATTTATGAACAAAATTATTTAATTCATTTGAATGCAAAACGTACATTCAGGTATTTTTCTGCCGTAAAACAGTATTTAAAGTGATCCTTCACCCAAAAAATTACAATTCTGTCTGATGATTAGGCCTTAATATGCAAATGCGAGTGAAACGCTCGCGCTGTCGATCCCTTATACTTAGTCACAGTACTTTGGTCAGGCATTTCGGAACATTCAAAACATGTAGGCCTTAATTTATGCAATTGTAAATGCAGTGTAAATATGTTAATGCCAGTTCTGATGCTGCTTCTGTGTTGCCTCTGCACTGCAAAGATGGATTTTGATTTAATGATTTAATTTGACTGCTAACAGTGGTATTGTGTAATTATTGTAATAGAATTTGATTTGAATGTTAGAATTTGACATAAAAGGTGATGCATACTTCTACAAATGTCCATAGTTAAAAAATGCACCCGGAAATCAATTTAAGGTTAGCAAATATTAAAACATCATAGATCAAAGAGTTTTTATGATTATGCCATTTTTGCTATTAAGAACTTTGCAGATCTAGAGCGAGTTCTTTTCTCAGGGGAATCTACTGGAATCTAATATACTTAACAATAGAGAAGTTATTGCCTATTTTTACCACTTGTGTTCTCTGCACCAGAAAATCCCAGATCCAGTAACATAAGGAATTATGGACCCTGAATTGTTGGAGTTTCAAAAAAGTTTGCTGGGTAAAATTGTGTTAAAAGCAAGTAAAGCAAGTTACTTGTTTTGTACAGTGACCGGACTTTGAATGATTCCCAGTCTTCTCCTGGTTTTTCATGTTGCAGCTGAGCTCTTTTTACATAATTGGGTAATTTATAAGGTGGCCAATAGCAAAGCATCCTCACCAGCCATCCACTTACTGCTTACTACTTCCACCTCTCCCCGTTCCAAGAAATCCACGACATGGAAAAATGGTGAGTTCATCTTATGCATTAAAGAAAAGATTAGAAAGAATTAATTAGAATGGTCTATTGTCAAAATGAAAAATGTGTAAAAATGTAATTAAGGGAGAGCTGGGACAGTTGAAACACTTTTCAGATAAAAGTCGGTTTCTAAGGTTACAGATAGATTTTAGTTTTTTTTCTGTTTGTTTTGTGATCAACAAGTCACATATCACTCTATCAGGTGTTATTCGGTGCAAATATAGAGTGATTTAAGTAAAACTTTGAACAATAGTTGTGCTTTGTTGCAACGATTTAAACACACAGATGGGACAGATGAAACAAAACAGTTTAAAAAATAACTGATCTTGTTTTATGAACAATAGGCCTACCTGACAAGTGACGTACATATTGTTAAAAAAAAATTATTATTACATTTTTCATTTAAAGGTACATTATTAATATTTTTGTTTTGTCGCCCAATAAACAATAGGCAATCAGCCCATGTGCATTTTGCATAATCTTTCTAATAGGCTATTTTGAAGAAGACAGACAAATCCATTTACAATTAATTTTCTTACATTTCTTGCTTGAGTTCTGTTGATTGTTTACTAGTTGAATAGCCTGTTGTTAATATGAAGAACATTCTGTCAACCGAATGATACTGAAGATTGAACAATGGATGATTATTAGATGAGATAACATGAAGAGTTCAGATGCAAAAGCCTCTAAGTGCCATTTGAAATTTTCTTCTTTAATGATGATTTTTATCAAACTTGTATATTTAAGTTCAGTAATTTCACTTAAATGGCAAAGACAATTACCTATTAATTGTTATTTAAGTGAAATTACTGAACTTAAATATACAAGTTTGATAAAAATCATCATTAAAGAAGAAAATTTCAAATGGCATTTAGAGGCTTTTGCATCTGAACTCTTCACATGGATCAATAGTCCTATGAAACTATGAAAAGTATAAAGGAGAAGAAAGGTCTTAAATTTTCAATGGCAAATTGACTTAGACTTACCTAATGTTTTCCAATTTAAAACTATTACCGAACTTTATTTATTTTTCATTCTTTGTGGATTTGCTTGTTCACGTGACAAATCGCGTCACATTCGTGCCAGCATTAGGCTACGTCTTGTCTCATGCACGCGAAACAGACGGAGAGAAGGAGAAGAAAGTTGGTTAATTTCAGTTCAATTGTAAGTTAATTTTTTATGTGCGTAGTGGTGTGTGATGTGTATTGTTTGTCTATTATAATATTGCAATCATTGACACTGTGAGCTGACATCGCATTTGTCTCTCATGCTTGCTTTCACTGCGTGATGTGTGGAGTTAGCTCATGACGATCATAGCTCAATATGTCCCTTAATGATTTTTTTGTCTTATATTTATATCATATTATGTTGTTATCCATATCACATCAGCAAGAGGGCCGTTTTCCCGTGAACAATAGCAAATGTGATATTTATTTTGTATAACCATTAAATCATGAACAATAAATTAACATTGTAAGTTGTATACCATGTTTGTTTTCTCTGTATTTCGCCGACAAGAATTTAAAAATGAAATCTTAGCAGTCTCAATGCAACAGACAGCGATGATTTTTTTACTGAAATCAATTTAATAATTTACGAAATAAAATATTACTTAAATATTAATAATATTTATATATATATATATATATATTTTATTATTATTTTATTTATGATAATAATTAAATATTATTTAATAAAACGAATAATTTTAAAGATTTCATGAACAATTTTTTCTGAATGAAATATCAGCCGTTTGAACAAATCGGTTGAATGAGTGACTCACAAAGACATTAACTTGCCACCACGTACTGGTGGGTTTAGTTTCACATTTAAAGTGCCCTTTAATTAAAAATGTTACAATTAGAAATCAGTCCCTATTTAAATATTGACTAAAACAAAAAAACTATCTCACAGCTTTATTAATGCAATTGTAAATGGAGTGTAAACATATTAATGCCAGTTCTGATGCCGCTTCTTTGTCATCTCTCCACCACAAAGAAGGATTTTGATGTAATAATTGAACTTAACTGCAGAGCCGGCCCAAGCCTTTTGGGCCTAAGCTAGCAGAATTTGATCTGGGGGCCCCTCTCACGACGCGGAGTCACCTGTGCTTGACGATTATTGACACAAATGTCATGCAATCATGATACATTATAAATGGATACACTGAAGTTATGTAGCCTATTACAATAAAATTAATACTTTATAAAAAATAGATGCCTACTTATATAAAAAAAGTTAACAGTCTTAAAACTGTCTCAAAACATATAAAATAAATTATTTGCTAAAATTATGACAAAACTGAGAAATTAGAAACATAAGAGCAAAGCTTCAACAATGATACTAGGCCAATTGTTGAAATATTACTATTTCTCAACTGTCTCAATACAGTGTAACTTTTTTTTTTTTTTTTTTAAATTTTTATTATTATTATTATTTATTGTAACAGACTTTGTTGGATAGTACATGACAGAATCCAATAAAGTCTGTTACTATAATACCATACCGGTAATGATGTTCTGGCGCTCGTTGTATGTGTGTATGCAATGTATTTTTCCCCTCGGGGCTTGCCGTAGATGGGTCGTGCGCACTTGGTACTAGACTTTTTCTGGTAGTGTTGCGGGTTTTGGGATTTAGTGATCTGATGTGTGGTATAAAAAAGTGGAGAAGAGTTCAAACTGCTATGTTTATTATTTATTCAAACTGTTACACTTACACCTTGAAGGTTAGTTCCCCTGCGACTATTTTCTCCAACTTAAACCGATACCGTGACTAGGCGCATGTTGTGCACGAATTGTCTATTTACGCGTGAGGTATCTAGAAGATTATGTGCATGACTGAAACGCTGGCAGACACAGCGGCAGTTGTAAAGGCAGGTATGTTGATCATTAAATCAGAATTTTGTTGAATTTCAAGGAAATTCCGAAATTCTGTGGTTTTCAAGGAAATGCCAATGTTTCATCCGTCCCGCGTTTCAATTGTCCTGTCTCTCCCCTATTACTTCTGATAAATACCTACTTGCTTTTTTAAACCAGTGTAGTTTTGCATCTTGTGTTGATGCTGTACATATGCCATGTAATTGAGATTTATGTACATTATTTTGTAGAACTATGTACATTATAATCTGTTTCTATTTCAGTTGAACCTTTTTGTTGTTGTTTTTTGTTTGTTTTTTGTTGACAGAATCACTTGACGTCAACGTGTAGAACTGATTGAATTGAAGCTTCAATGTAAATGTAGCAATGGGGTTGCTGCCCATTTCAAACCAAAGGGAAGCAAAACATATTTGGCCTCAATATCAGAAAGCTTGCACAGTTTAACCTCTGCAGCAAGCTCACAAGCT